AATAATTTTCAATTATCATAAAATATTTATGTCAATGAGATCAAATTATATTAGAGTAAAACTCATTCATATAATAAATTTTAATAGTTTGATTATTTAAAAAATAATTTATTTTAGAAGAACATCTTCACCAAACCTCTTCACTTTTAGATAAGTAGTTTTATGATAGATACCAAGTACATAATATTTAATATATTTTGAAATTTTTGTTGCAATGTTTAATAACTTTTGTTAATAATAATTCTCATAATTTCTTTTATTAAATGTAAAATAAAAGTAAAATAAAATGACACTAATTTTTTAAGAGCATGTATACCATTATCTTATTGAAAATAAATAAATTCTATGGCAACCATATCTTCAAACTATTAAAATAGTTGCTCTATATATATGTAAAAGGTTATATCTAGAATTGAAATGAGAATTTCATCCAACGTTTCATAACTTTTATAATGTACTAACTTATCAGAGCTGAAAATATTTAACCTCTATATTTTATTAAAAAAAAAATTGGCTATGGCCCTTGTTGGTTTCCTCCTCACTCCACCTCTGCTCGTGCTCTGTTTTTTTTTTTTTTGCCCAATCTTTGCTCATCTTGAAATTTCAAGGATTCAATTTAAACTATTGGGACGAAGACCAAGTTCAACTAAAATTATAAGAATTAAAATTTTATTTTTTCCTTATTTTTTCAACAACCTCACTGCTTCATTTATATTTTTAAAAAATAATATATTAAAATTTCAAATATTATCATTAAGATACGTTTATATATATATATATATATATATGTGATATTTAATAAGAGTATAATTAAAAATATACAATATTAGAGTTGTGAGGTTAAGGTTTTTCCAAACTATTTTGGAGAATCATTATCAATATCTTATATTACAGTTAAGATTTAGTATAATATTAAGAAATCAAACACGTCCTCAGCCGCTAAATGCTGCTTCCAATCCTAATTATTGGGTGTAGTTTTAAAGTTATATTTGATCTCAAATATAGGACCAATTTGTATCAGATATTTTTAAAATACCATTTCTCTTTAATGGCGCCAAGTTATAATTTATATACACGCTTTATTGTGTTCATTAAATTTAATAAAATAAAATTAGAAAGTCAGATATTTTTTTGAATAAATTTAAAGAAATTAACGAACATCTACAGTAAAAAAGGGACAGCATTATTGCGTAAACCCAATGGAGAAGTTGCTGTCAACCAGATCGGGATCAAAAAGAGAGAAATTTCAAATGGCTTGCAGGTAATATAAGCCCAGCCAAGATGAAAATGCTGAACCTGTACTTAAACACAGCATGAAATTGTGAAGCAGAGGCTCATAGCTAAGCCCAATAATCAGACCTCTGTTATAATTACTTGCCAGCTAAGCCGAGGATTCAAAATGGAAGAAAGTTGTATTAAAAAAATGAGAGAATAACAAGTAAGGACTGTAGAAAAACATTAATATTAAATTAAAAATTTTAATACTGAAACATGATATAAAGAGTATTGGAACTTGAGAACATTCTAGAGAATCAATTGTAACCGTAGGATAGATTTAATCTCCACCGTCCATTGAGGAGGTGGGAACATTCTAGATCAAAGGAGAGGCCTATAAATACCTCACCCCTTCTCATTTGTAAATCATCCTTGAGTTCTCAAAGCAATAGAACTCTCACATTCTTCAAACTCTTTCTACTCTCCTTTGCCTTTGAGCTTTCCCTTTCCTCTACTTAACCAAGCATCCTCCTTTCATAAAAGTTCTAATATGACATTGATGTTTTTATAAGATTTTTCTTGTCATTTTCTTCAAAAAAAAATTGAAGAAAGTTTGACATAAAGGGCCCATTTTAGCAATATCAGGCTAGCATGTATTTGGGCCAAAAAGGCCTTGAAATTTAGGCGTCGGCTGATGTGGATCTCATGACAGGCCGGGCTCTTGTAGGTTTTTACTGCATAGAAAAAACCTAGGTTGTTGGTATATTTTGCACTCTGCGCCGTGGCTGGTCTTGCGCTAGTGGTTGTTCACCGTTATCGTCCGAGCGCCGCTCAAGGTCTCAGACGGAGTCACCATGGGACGCGTCCGCACCAAGACTGTCAAGAAGTCTTCGCGCCAGGTCATTGAGAAGTACTACTCTCGGATGACCTTGGATTTCCACACCAACAAGAAGATTCTTGAGGAGGTTGCTCTCATTCCCTCCAAGAGACTCCGCAACAAAATTGCCGGATTCTCGACTCATCTCATGAAGAGGATCCAGAAGGGACCCGTTCGTGGAATCTCTCTCAAGCTTCAGGAGGAGGAGCGTGAGCGTCGCATGGATTTCGTCCCCGACGTCTCCGCCATTAAGACCGATCAGATCGAGGTCGATAAGGAGACTCTAGACATGCTCGCTGCTTTTGGTATGAATGATATTCCGGGGCTCGTCCAAGTTGATCCCGTCCCTGTGCAGCAGACGACGGGATTCGGTCGTGGTTTTGGCGGAGCTAGGAGGTATTAGGTTTTGGCCTTCATCTTCGTGGTTTTGGGATTTGAGCTTGTCGTTAGTCGCTCATAATCATGTAACTGAAGTTTTACTTGTCATCCGGTGATTAAACTTGAACTTCTGTGTTAGAGATCACATATTATGGTTCTACTTTTTTTCTCCAATTTACTTAAATTAAAACTCGTCAAAATTTAGTCAATGCAATTGATTTTGTATGCTTCGTGTCGCGTACTCAAACGAATTAGTGACATGCCCCTAAATTTATATTCCTGTCCGCTAATGAGTTATCTATTTATGTTGGTTTCGAACTGGTTCTTAATTCTATGTTTTTGATAGTAGGTTTTAATTCAGAAATTATGATTGCGTATATTCCTCTGTGAAATTTACTGCATTTGATATGTTGAGATTTTTGATGCCATATGCTTGAGGCTGATTTTTTCTTATAATCCATATCTCATCTTTCAATTGTATGACATGATTATCGTATTTGATTGAACTGTATCACTTATTTTGTTGTCTTCAATTCTCCAATTTAGGAAGATATAAAATTGCTCTTTTGGATGGCATTGATGGTCTTGTGCGTCATTTCTTATCAATTTAATTACTTCTCTTTAATTACGAAAATAAGTTTAACTTAGCTGCCTACTCTTGGGGGTTGGTAATAGGTGAAAGCTAGACTTTGGTTAACTAAATCTGAGTTTATATTACAAACGTCGAGCCTGGTCTTTCATAGGCTCAAGCTTGAGTTTGCGGCTTGGCCTGAAGTTTTTTAAAATCCTACATCATATGTGCCTTTTAAAAATGTTTTTGAATTCAGGTTCCAAAGTTTTTAAGTAAGCTTTCGAGCTTACCAAATTCTATATTTTTATGCAAGTTTCAAAGTACATATATTTTAAGTTTCAAATAGGGTTAAAGTCTATTTAAAAACTATGTTTAATTAAAATAAATAAAACCTATAATAAATTTAAATAAAACATATTTTAAAGAGTTATCCCATGTTTGTTGCCGAAATCACAAAAATTAAATTTAAGGGTAGGAGAATTAAATGAAACTAATTATCTTTAAGATAAAAAACTTACAAGATAAAATTTAAATGCAATATAGTATATAAATATATAAATTATATAAATTTAAATATAATATAAGTATTTAAAATTTATAAATATACCTAAATAGGTTAAGTCTGCAATCTAGGCTCGGCTTTAAAAATTCAAGCCTGCCTTGTTTAAATGTGTAAAGTTCTAAACAGGCTTGATTTGTTTATAAATAGTTTAGGTTAGGCCACATCGAGACTAGTCTAGGTTGCCTAAGTTTTGTAGAGATTCATTCCAAAAGCCGCCTGGAGTGTTTAAAATAGCATCAGAGTTGTAAACCATAGATACACCTGTTTTGTGTGTGTGTGTGTGTGTGTGTGTGTTATTTTTTAATTTTAACTCAAATTATACTGTACCCAGTTAATTTAGTTGGTTTTAATTTGAGCTTAACTGTTTCATGTCTCATTTTCATCCTTCAATTGCATATGATCATGTCTCTTTTTATTTAATATGATTTGAATTATATTTTTATCCTTTAATTTAATTTTTGTCTGCTTTAATTGGTTATTTTTCAATAAAAGCAGGCAAATGTTTGATATTCTTTAATATTCTTCAGCCACCTAACACTTTTTTTAAACATTTTAATTGGATTGTATTAAGAGAAAGACTCATACAAGTTAACACATACTCTCTTCGTTTAAAGATGTGAGGTATTTTTTAAGAAGTTGGATATTCAAAAATATAAGTCATTTTTAGTTTTTTGATGTATAATTATCATCTTTTTTTAAAATTTTTTTTATTAATAATGACTTTATATTTATTGTATGGTGTTTAATAAGAGTAAATATAAAGGGATAAAGTTAATTAAAAAATAGATAGTTATTTTATTAAGGATGAGATTTAATTAAAAATGTATTACATTTAAAAGAAATTAAATTATAACCCACATGAAAAGGGAATGCAACAAAATGATATTCACTTTAAATTATAATATAAATCATTATGAATTAATTTATATTCTAAAAAAATTGGATAAAATTTTTATTTTTTAAAAGTTTTTATACTTTTTTAATTATGTCATTGAATGTAATAATTATAACATTTCACTTATCTAAAATATTATTATTAATTGTTTAATAAAATAAGAATGTGATTGAAAAAATATATACAACATTTATTTAATATTTAATATTTTAAATTAAATAAAATTTTTAAAAAATAATTTATATTGTGATTTGAAAAGAAAAAAATTATATAAATAATCAAGAAAATAGTGATATTGTATACTCTTGACAGAATCATCCGTCCGTTTGGGGTTCCCAACTTGAATTTAAAGTTGTCAGAATTAAACATGGTTCTCAAGTACCGAATGATTTGTCATAAAGAGTGGGTCCGGAAGATAAAATAGAACCAAAAATCTTTTCCGAGTTGTTTTGGGGAAAAAAAAGAAAATAAAGCGATAAAATATTAAAATCAAGTGATTAAATTGAAACAAAGATTAAGGTAAAATATAAAAGATTAAGTGTATAGTTCAGCGTAATCTAGAGTACTATTTTACATATTAAAAAAAAACGATTACCCTCTACGAAGCGCTCACTGGTCAATAACTGCTACTGATATTGAGTTCTGGAGGTGGAGCATAACCCAGAAAACAAAAGGGCAACATGGATGTGCCTAAGATTTTCAAGAAAGCAATCCCGGGAGTTCATTGCTACTTAGTAGGAGTTTTGACAGAGCCATTCATCCAAAGGCCACACGACGAGATAAAGGAGATAGATTCGAGAATGTAGGGTCTATTTCATTCGCTGGAATTCGCAAGGCCTACCATATTGAGCATATGCCTATCTTCCTTGTGTCTGTCGAGTACAGTACCCTTGACGGCTTCATTCCTGCCCTGGATTCCTGCTTGGGCTGCACTTGTCACTCCCCAGCACTCTATTACTTCAGGTGATATACGGCTACTCTTGGAGAGGCAAGGACTCCCAAATGTGGAACATGAAAACGTATGCCCCTGATCAAAATTCGCCGACAAAAATAAACCAAAGTGATTAACCCGTCCGCCAAATCCAATTCCATTTGGGATGTCCTCTGAAGTGAAGTTCACAGCACACTGCAAAATAAAAACAGAGTGAATACGAGATCACTGCCATGCTCCCTATTTGCAAACTAGAGTTATATCACAAATTTCATATAATGATTAAATCCTCTTGAACTTCACACATTCAACCCCAATTCAAAAAGGAAACACTATTCGGTCAGCAAAATTATGACTCCAGCTCAGTGACAGATGAGGCAACAAGATAGTTCAACTTCTCCAGTGCCGAGTGCAAATCCCAGGCCCATCCCCCAAAAGAGGATAGTTACCCATTGAAGATTATTGTTTGCTCCAGTAGGTCTATATATAGAGGCCTTTGGAGTTAGCTGGAACAGGCAACATTTCATGTCTCCATAAAATTCAGCATGCCGCTCCCATGGTTGGGAAGCATATCCTCCATAAACACAACCTTCTTTATCCTTGATAATCAACATAGTAGGGCCTTCGTGATTTCTGCGTTCAATTTCAGAGTTAAGCTCCAATCCTTTCTAGAGTAGGTGCAATACGTAAATTTAATTATCATATAGCTTCAAGCAAATAGAAAGTATCTATCAAGCAGATCATCGTGGCTTTATTGCTCATAATACTTAGTAACTGATGTGTCATGCATGGTGCTTCCTTACGGTTCCAGACTGTACTGTGGTTAATAAGGGCCAATAATTCCAATCTCCTCTTGGTCTAATTCATGCAATTTATTTCATTACAAACCCATCATCTTGACAATGCAACATGCCCTTTTCTTTTACTACATAGCAACACAAGAATCTGACATCACTCATCAATAAAGTCTAAAGGCAAGATAATATGCTTACGAAATGTTGCCCAGGAATGTGTTAAAACTAAGACCATTCAAAGCACTATGATACAAAAGCTTCCATGCTTCCACTTCTTGCTGAGAAAGTGCTCCTCCAATATGCCACGCATACTCCTTTCTCAAAAGAAGAATGTCTGAATCGATGCCATCCGAATGCAATAGATGAGGAACTTGAGAACCCGGTCTTCCTAAGGAAGAAAAGCCAAAAATAAGAATAATAAAATATATCTGTAGCATTCTTCTAGATTTCCTCAAGACTAATCCAATAGCTTTTCATCTAGAATAAGGTAAAGTGATAACAATAGCATCATTGAATAAGAACAAATTACCTGAATCAGGTGGCATCAACAAGCTGCCAAGAAGCTTTCTCACAGATGGGATATGAGTACACCAACTTCTGAAATCTTCAAAAGACATAAACTCCTCAGTGCATCCTTCTTCATACTTTGAGAAAGTTGCAGCATTCAAAAATATGTTGACAGTGTCCCGATGTGAACTTGATCTAACTTCAGAATCTTCAATGCTCAACAGGTTGTGAAAAATTGCTATTAGAACAGATTCCAAATCAGACCTGCATGCTTAATGTGTCATATGCATCAAAACAATGAAAAGGGTAAATAAAGAAATCCAAAGAAAAAAGAAAGTGGGCAAGCAATTCCACAACAGCATTGGATATAATCAATATTGATAGAAAGATTACACTCCAACATTTAAAATCTACTGTCCTCCAATAAAATCTACACGGCTATACCAGAGAATATCAAGCCGGGTACTGATGTCAATGAAGCACAACTCTCAAGTCATGTAACTGAAACACATATATCGAAACCGAAGGAAAGAGAATTCCCGTTTCATTTAGCATCTAAAGATGATACTCCAGACTATATAAGAGTGCTAGTGACTGGAATTACTTTTCCATAAAGAGTAAGCAACAACAAATTATAAATAAGCAACCATATAGACACAATTAGTCTTGTACACAAAGTGTGCCATTGTACGATCGGACTTGTATTTAAGAGGTTGAGACCAAGAGGTTGCAGGTGAGTATCGCTATACCTCCCTAGAATATTATTTCCAGATACATCTAGTAAGCGAAAGATGAATTCATCAATTTCATCTTTTGTTCCTTTCTCATAAGCAGCCTGCAACACCAAAAATGAAACAAAACAGGGATATGACGCAATTATAGCAACAAAACATGATGATTATTGCCACAAAAACTTACTTTAGCAATAACAAGATCTTCGAAGGCTAGTTTTTTGTCCCCACGCTGCTGAGTAACCAAATAAAACATCCTCTCCCCAAGAAGGTCATCGAGTCCAAAATATGACTGTGACAGAAAATAGAATTTTCTGGGGTCGAAAGGGCAACGCTTGATTGATGATCAAGATAAGTATTTATTGCGGGGCACAAAACTGAACCTGAAAGACGGAGAGAGAGACATAGTCGCCGTTGCTCTGCGATTGAACTGCCAGAGACTTGAACAGAGTCCTTAAATCTTCAAGTTCCTTTTGAGTGAAAGCTCTGAAATAATTGTCCCAAAATATTGCGAGCAAGTTGATTTCTGAGAAATCTGAGTGTGTGAAAAGAAAGAGAGAGAAACCTGGATGCGGAAGCATATCGAGGATCAGAGGGAGGAGGTGACTGAGCGTTGCCCATGGATTGCTTTGCCTCGAACGCCTTGCTCCCCTGAATCTCCTAAGATCTCGCTGGAGGATTTCCAGTTTCTGAAAGTTTCGGCAACACGTCCTTCGTTTTCGTGGCATTTGCCTGGAGCCCCCGAAGTTTCTGAAATTTCTCAAGAAATATTAAAATGGAAAAAACAAAAATTTGAGAACTGTGGATTGGTGGAAAGAAAAGAAAAACCTCAATATGGAAGAAAACAGAATAGGAAGCCGGGGAGGAAAAAAAATTCTAAAATCGGAATGAGAGAGATCGTGCTACTGTTCTTCCCCTTATGCTTCAACTTGTTTGCTTCCCAAAACAAATTATTCAGTGCATTATCAGACCCGCGTCTAATCAACCTATTATGTTGTGTTTTAATTAATAAAGAAGGACAAAAATATATGATTTTGAATTTTGATTCAAATTAAAATTTATTTTAAATTATGATATAATTTTTTTATAATTTTAAATTTTTTTTACACTTTATTTATTTAAAATTTTAATTATTTTAAATATTTTATTCTTTTTATATTTTTACTATTAATGCCTTATAGTATTTATATGTTTTATCAACTAAAAAGTGAGAATGAAATTTTTAATTTTTAATTTTCATTTTGAATGTTGAACTTTTTTTATTTAAAATTTTTTAAATTATAAAAATAAAAATTTTAAATATATAAATTTTAAATGTAAAATTTTAAATCTAAAACTTAAATATGTAATCCAAATATTATTTTATGAAATTCATGCACTGAGGTAATTCTCTCTCCATTCCAAAAGATAAAACTGAAAAGGCCGCGTTATACTCAAAACTTGATTATTTCATCACCTTCATTTGATTTTAAAGTACAAGGATTTTAATAGTTAATTTAAGTTAGTAGAAATTAAAAAAATATATAATTAATTAATTTAAAAAATTTAATTTAATTATTATTATTATTATTAAAAAAAATAAGAAAAGGTATGAGAAAGAGGAAGGAAAGAAAGAAGAAAAAGAGACCAGCTTTCGGCGCGTCCGCATGCAATGATCATACATATAAAATAATAATAAAAAAAAGAGGAGGAGGAATGGAGCTTTCGGCGTAAGTGTGATGTACATAGATATATAAAAAGAAGGAAAGGAAAGCAAAAAAGAAATATAGGACCCACGTGTTTTTTTTTTAAAAAAAAACAACAAATGTCCTCTTCCCTTACATTTTTCTTCTCTTCTCACTTCTCTTCCGCGCACAAACAAAGCAAGCGACTGTGAGCAAGTTCATCGACGTAGCGTGTTTAAGTTTTAAAGGTGAGATTTCCTAATAGGATAATTAGGGTGAGATTTCAAGCTTTTCAAGATTAAATAAGTGTTTTAAAAAATTTTTCTTATTCATCTAGCTCCTTTAGTTTCTGATTTTGTGATAGTGAAAAATTTAAGATTTGAAAGAGGGATGAATTTATGTTGAATAAATATAGTTTTTGAGGTTGTTAGTAGTATAATAAATGTTCTAGAGTATAAATTTGTTGATGATCTTTGAATTTATGGCTTATGGATCAAATCATAGACTAAATTTTTTTTATCTGAAAATATATGTTGATTTATTGAGGTTTAGATGATTATTTGGGATGAGAAATGAATTATTATGGCTATAAGATTATGATTCTAAGCTAGAGACTCAATTTTTAATTTTTAAATATTTTAGGTGCGAATTTATGAAATAAAAAGAAAATTTTGATGATAGAAATTAGTTTAGAAGTTGATTTTTAGATTATTAATGTTTATTGATAATTAAAAGAGGAGTTAAAAATTTTACTTAATAGTATTAACTCTAGATTTGTATTAAGATTGAGATTAGGAATTATGTTATATTTTTAATTTTATTATTAAAATTATTTTATTAGTTTCAAAAATTGAAACTAATATTTATAAATCATATGTTATTTGTAGATTGTATTATTGGTGAAGATTGTGGTGGGAGAGAGATTGTAAAGAATAATTTATTTAAAAAGCCACAAGGTAACCATGCTTTTAATTTGTGATTAGTGTTACTTCATGTTAATTGGGTGATTATTGAGAAAATTATAAATTTTATAATATTGTATAATTGTGCAATATTATTATGAATTTGTTTGATTATTGTGGGAGGTGTTGGGAGACTTGCTATTGTTGTTATATTTATATGTCACATGGTACGCCCCTATTGGAACTCAATAGGTGGTTTGTAAGGGCTCAGGCTAATCTACCTTTGGCCGGGTAATTTAGTACCGAGTGAGGGTTACGGCTCGAGGTTAATGGAGGGATATAATGATGGTTGTTTATGTATATTGTAATATTTCTTATATTTTGTTGGAATTATATTATTTTTAATTCTCATTTAGTAAGCACACACTTAACTGTTTGTATACACTATCATAAAATTGGTTTTGGTTACTGGGACTTTTGAGTCTCATTATGTGGTTAATAATTTTCAGGAGAAGAGCCACGAGTGACATGTAGAGGAGTCCCAGAGGCTTAGTGGCATAGATCCACTGTCTCTTTTGGGTATTTGATTTATGATTTATAATGTGTTATATTACCAATATTAGGGCTTTTTGTTTATTGACAATTATATGAATATATAAATGTAATCATGCCTTTCAAACTATTTCTATTTTTGGTATACTTTGGATGGCTGTAATTTTAATATTTGATTTACTTTGAATTAGTTAAAATGGCATGATTATGAGGCCAAATAACTGGCTTGTGTTGAAAATTTACTAAATTGTTTATTTTACTTGTTGGGAGTATAAGGATAGACAAATGTGATTTAGTTTACTTGTTAAGAGTATAAGGATAGACAAATGTGATTTAGCCTAGTGGCATGTGGGAGGTGAAAATTTATCTGAAATGTTATATTGTGTGAGTTGAAGCCAATTATAAAATATTTTATATTAAAATTATTGATATAAAAATATGTGGGTGGCTGTAACCCAATTATGATTGAGTTAAAGTATTTAAAAAAAAAATTTTGATGTGTTATATTCCTACTCCATTGTATAACGCAATGTCACAACCTATATTTAAATAGAAAAAAATCTGTAAAGTTGTGAAGTCTTTGGAGACCTGCATAATGAAAAAAATTTCAAAATTTTCAAGAAAAATTCAATATGTTTTAGAATGTTTCAGAAGCATTTAGAACAATTTAGAAATATCTAAAAGCTTATAAAAAGTTCTAGAAACTTATAAAGAAATGTGGAGATATCTAAAATATTTTAAGATATTTTAAAATATTCTACATATATCTTGAAGCTCAGTCTTTAAAAACATCCTTATAAATATTTAGATATTTATTGTATATATTTTTATAAAATATTTTAGATGATAAATATAAACTGTAGGATTGGATTAATCTCTCCACCGTAAAGTAAAAAAACTCTAGGATAAGGGAAAAGTTTATAAATATCCCCATTTATAAACAACAAACAAAGCAAGCAAAGTTTTAAATTTTCAAGTTCTCTCATTCAAGTTTTCTTTTCTTTCGTATTCAAGTTTCTAATTTTTTGCCTACATTTGAGGATTCAATTGATTTAATTAGAATTAAAAAGTTGATCACGCTAAGGCCGGTTCAAAAATAAAGAAGTTTTAAGGCTGTGACAATAGGCACTGTATGGTTAAAAAAAAATAAAAAATCCGTCCATTTTCTTTTGCCAGTTTGCCTTTCTTTAGATCCTGATGGTCCTCACCTCACTCCTCAGACATTACAATTTTTTCTTCTTTGAAAGTAGCAAGCCGATAATTAGCTTTACTGTCATGAATAACAGAAGAGTACTTTTCATACGAGCATACTCAATCAAGCTTGTTGAGGTTACCTAATTACAGTGCTGTTCATTCTCCATCAAAGGAAGTAAGGAACAACTGTCAGGGCCTTGATCAATGATTTAGATCAGGGTCTTCGTGAAGAGTTGCAACATTACATGCTCTAGTTTTCAGCTTTTTTGCCGCTTGGTGGATGGAAAAGAGCAATTATGTTAGTGGTTAGCAGTTAGCAGGGTCTTTTAAGGACAAGCAAAAGCATGTGAGGCTGCAAACCTTTATTAAAGTGCCTTCAATTTAAATCAAATGCAGTACGTAATTCTCATGGAAAGCTCCTTCCTTCATTTCTCAAATTCCTCTCCCATACTAATTGATTATCATTAATGGCGTTACCTTCTTTTCCCTCTTCAACCATAAGCAATTGATCATCTGGGTTGCTCATTATCAGCCACCACTATCTTGCAATGAAAATGTTGCAGTAACGTGTGGGGCTGTGGGCATTGTCTACTAGTAATTCACAGGGCATGAGATATTTTCCTGCGGCGTCCATCGTATTGGTCAATACTCAGTGCATCGATGTCAATATATCATCATCAATATATGTTATAAAAGTTTAGATCCACACTATTATAATGTTATTTCAATGTTACTGATATCATTTTTTTATTATCTATTAGCATTCATTTATCAGAAGCAATTATATTTGAATTATTATCATGTTGGATACTAAATATGAATATTTCTTCTACAAAAAATTTAAACATTAGTTCGTATGTTGTGAGCGACTAGCTTTTTTCACAATACCCAATTCTCGTTTCCTCATATTATTTTCTGTTTATGGTCATCTTTGTGCGTCCATTACTCCATTCATGCTTAAACGGGCCCACATGCAAACTGATGGTTCCTACGTTTTACCCATTCAGCTGGGCTTTAGTCCAGTTTTGACAAGGTTTTGCTATTCGCAGAAGTAACGTCAATGTTAATTAAGCCGAACTAATTGGTTGTCACCGCAAAAAAAGTTAATTAAGCTAATTAAAAAATTTGTGGCAAGTCCAACTATATTTACAACTTATAAATACTACCATAAATCATTTTACAAATGTTGTACAATACACATAGAACCCACCTAGTTTTTTTTTATAACCCTATGTATGAGGAAGGATGAGTTAGGTTAGATACTGATGGTTTCGTTAATTCTATTGGTGCAGCTTCTTGTGGTGGTCTCATATGAAACAAACAAGAAAATTGGATTAAAGACTTCTTCAAATATCTTAGATATTATCCAAGTACAACTATTGAACTTATGGGTATCCTGGAAAGACTTAATATCTGCTGGGCTAAAAAGTTTAACAAAATCAATGTCTACTCTGATTCAACTGAAGCTCTATCGTTAATTCACAATGAGTTCTCTATCAATCACTCTCTTTTTGTTACTATCAATGATATTAACAATCTCATTATGTGAGATTGGAATGTTATCTTTGATCACGTTTTCAGAGAAGCGAACACTTGCGCTGATTAGTTGACCCACCAAGCCTCTACCGATAATTTCAATGTATTTATTTTTA